ATACCAGGAACCCAAATAGGGTCTTAAAGTCACTAAAGGGTAAAAATGATCTCATCTTTTTATCCGCTGATTTACTTAGCAAACAGCTTTGCATGCACTGGATTTCTAAGAAGAAATTATTTATTAAATCAGATGCTACTGCCTTCTTTGCATCATTACCACATTACTCCCTATGCCACAGTACTCTCTGTTGTTAACCTTCAACTTTCCCTCCTTGATTTTGTTTATATGAAGTACTTTCAGGCACCAGATTCGATGCATTTGCTCCATACAAGCTCTCTTCACTGGTCTTCCCTTCCTAGGAGGTGCTAAACATGCTGAAGGAAAGCAAAGCAGACATCTTCGTGGACCCAGTTCTTCATACAGCTTGTGCCCTGGACATCAAACACCACTGTGCAGCCATCACCCCCGGCCGAGGGCGTCGTAAGTCATTCTCAACTCAGTTCTGTGTTCACTCTGTCTGAACTATTTTGGAAGGAATCAAAACTTCCTTTTAGGTATCACTTGCAGCTACTTCATTCTGTAGCTGCAGTTCAACCACAGAGTCCCTTGCAAACCTCGATGATACTGGGACTAGGCCAGTGTGGCAAAATTAACTTAGAAAATAGTGTTCCAGTTACCTAGTGCCACTCTGCCCAGAATATACCACAAATGGAATGCCTTGAGCAAACAGGAGTTAATTCTCTTACAATTTGGAGGCTTTAAGTCCGAGTTCAAAGTTCCAGGCTCTAGGAGCTATGTGAAAGACCCTCAACCCTGGGCGTCAGCTCTGCCTCTTACTCCCGGCCCACTGAAGCTAGAGGCATCACTTCGCTCAGGCAGCTACTGGCTGCTGAGGCTAACAAGTCCAAGGTTGAAAAATAAAATGGCACAGTCCCAGTGTTACCAAACCACACAGCAGGCCATTAATTCAAGTCCATTTAAGTCCCAAGCTTGGCAGAGCATGGGAGGCTGCTGAACAGTGACACAGCTACATGCAAGGTCCAAGCGTGCCAAGGCTTCTCCTTATATACAGGAAGCAGACCACATCCCTAAAGCAGTTACTCAGCTTCTCATAGTAGATTCCACCATGGAGTTGATTACCAGTCTCATCATGGGGAATACTACATCCAGCTACCCAGCCATTATACCAGGCCCATCCAAGTTGACACTGAAACTGAACTAACACAATTCTACCCCTTGTCAACTTGGCACTTGTACAGATCTTTTCAGTGAGTGTTATCTGTACAGATCTTCTTCACTGGGTGACTCCAGTCCCCTAGTTACTGAATGGTGACCTCACGCCCTTGGCCTGGCGGGCTCCGTTCCTCTACCTCTTGGACGTGGCATCCGGCCTCCTCACTCTTAGGCAGCGGCTTGACTCCATCCCACTAGCTCACATGAACAAGCAGCCCCACACTCCAGAACCAAGTTGGTAAAGATCTTGCTCTTTGAAACCTAGGGGGCTGTGGTGATTCCTCCCCTAAAGGCCATGGTCCTACCCTTGAGGCTGAGGTGGTTCTTCTTCCTGTTTCCTTGGTCTCTCCGCTTCTACTGATTAATGAAAAAGGCAACCCACTCCGCAGGAAATCTTTTGCTGCAAAAAGCTTTCTTGCTCCGTGGGCCAGCCAACCTTCTACTCTATTTCATGCCAGTCTTTTCTACCAATTCATGTCTGAAGGCAACCTACTCTGCCAGGAAGCTGCCTACCCAGTGGTACTCGGCTTTCTTCTCTGTGGGTTGGTAAGCCTATTGGCTGTTTAATGCCGGTCTCTGGGCTCTACTACTGCCCTGTCTCATGCCGCATGCTGGGGTCTCTCTGCCAGTGTCTTGGGTCACAGATGCCCTCCACTCCTGTTTGCATATTTTAGGTACCTGTCAGAGCAGCACCCCACTCTCGATACCAAATGTGTTAGGCTGTGTTCTCTAGAGAAGCAAAATCAGTAAAGATTATATATACATAGAGAGAAAAGAGAAATTTATCTTAGGTAAATGGCTCACATACTTATAAAAGATGGCAAGTCCCAAATTCTTGGATCAGACATCAAGCTGGAAGCTTTTCCTGACTCATGCAGCTGCAGGGGCTGACGAGCTCAAGATTGGTAGGCGGTCTACCGGCTGTTGCCTCCCAATAAATGACAAATCCAAGTTCTCTAGGCCAAATGGTGGATTGTTCGTTCACAGACAGTTGTAGGCAGCACAATAAGATCCCAATCCACAGAAGAGTGTCTCTTTTCTTAGGATGTCCATAAATATATTGGAAGTAGGCCACACCCCTAGGGAAACTCCATTTCTATAGATTGGCTGTTCCAAACATATACATCCAGTCCCATCATGGAAATAACCCACATCACAATTGCTTAAAGCATACAGAATTGTGGTCCAGCCAAGTTGACACACAGCTCCAAATAGTCCTGCAGGTTTGAACTATCCTAACCAGGACTAGAGCTACAGATTTGATGGAGGAGAGGGAGTTGTCAGTTATTTATTAGGGAAGCAAAAGTTAAGCTATCACCATGGTCTTCATTTCCCCTTTCCCAAACTAGAACAGCATCATCAGCTTACCCAGACTGGACTCCATAAGCAGGTTCTTTGTGAGGTTGGGACCCAGGGCAGCTATAAATGTTGTATCTGAGCCAGGTATACCCAATAAAAATCAAAGAAGTTTTAAGAGGGACTCTGGACAGCCAGCCCTGGAAGGTAAGTACCATTCCTTTCCCTGCTGGATCTTGGGTCAGGTTTCTTGGGATGAGTAACTTTATTTAGCCAACAGATCTGAATTCTCTGGTGCTCAGATGCTCTGCTTCTCTGCCTTTCAGGAGTTTGTCTGTTCTGAAGTTTCAGACCCACTGCTTGTCCCTTTCTTTCCACAGAAATGTCCTGCCTCATGGAGGCCCTGGAGGACAAGCGGGTGAGGTTGCAACCTGAGTGCAAAAAACGCCTCAACGACCGGATTGAAATGTGGAGTTATGCGGCAAAGGTAATAACCCTGAATGTCTCCTAAAGTGGCCAGTCACTTCACAATACTGGACTGGTTGGTATTGTCCTTATTGTCAGACTGGCAGTAAGTATATTTGAAAAATGTGTCTGTGTACTTTTTCTCTAAAACTCTTTGTCCATGAGTCTGGAGCCCCATCTCCTTTTACACTGAGGTCACATCTGCCACGCTCTGCCCAGGCCACTGCTTTTGGTCGCCCAGACCTAAAGAGAAGGCAGACCTCAGGCCCGTGGGAAAAGAAAGATTCCGCCTCTCCTCTCTTGTGGCTTCTATTTTTCATCTCACAGAGTCTTTGGGAAAAGAATATGTTCTATATAGTGGGACCTATCTAGGAGCTCTGGTAGCATAGTGCCTAAGGCATTTGACTGCTAACCAGAAGGCTGGCAGTTCAAACCCACCGGCCACTCTTCGGAAGGAAGGTTGGGCAATCTACTTCTGTAGTGATAGCGCCTCCATAACCCATGGAGAGGTCGGTATGAGTCAGGTCTGACTCGATGACACATAACAACAACAACAACAACAATCAGGAGGAGACTATGTGTATGAGGCAGCCTTCAGCCTGGAACATGGAGAGTAATAGAAATGATGGCCCATGGTACCTTTGGGAATGTGTGTGGTACCAGACAGATTTAGAGGAATTTTTCCTACAAAAATTCAGTCTCAATGAGAAGAATAGTAACAGTTCGCATATATACATTGTTTTATAGTTTGATGAATGCATTACTTCATTTGGACTTTGAAGTAATCCTTTGAGGCAAGTGAAAGGATTTTCCTCATTTTAAAGTGGAGCAAACTGACTTGAGAGGTATGATTGGTTTGAGGCTCGTCAGTGAAAAGGTCATGTTTCTAGATCCATGCAGTTGTGTCACCCCACACTGGGGTAGACTTTTCCAGTGCCCTTAGGTGCAGAGAATGACCATGGGACTGGCCTTTTCTTCCTGGTCAATTCATTCTGTCACCCATATGCTTGACAGTCAAGGGAAATAAGGCACAAAGGGAAGGGATCATAACTGTCACAGTGGCAAGCACTTCCTCTTCTCCCAAGGGAAAAGAGGCAACTTGGAAGCCCTGCTTGGATTAGACAGCAGAAACCCCACATTCATTCGTTCATTCTTCACTGGTTTCCACTCCTTTGAATTGCTTAACACTGCTTCAGACTGCTTGTTTGGTGTTGGCAAGTGTTGGTGCTCAGATTGAACTGATCTCAAACCTCCGCTACTGCTCCATGTACGTGGGCTGAGCGTGGAAGGCATGCAGTCTTCTCGGGCCAGCCCTTCTGACACCCAGGCTAACGTGACACTGTACTGACTCAGAAGAACAGGTCTGTGTGCACCTGGGGACCCTTTGGTCCGAAGTGTCCATAGCAGGCTATTGTGAGGGCTATTTGAGAAACCAGTGAGGAGAAAGACTGCTTAGACTGAAGCGTCCAGGTTGGGTAAGTTTAAGTATATTCGGTCCTTGTAAGTCATGTTTGTAAATTATTACTGATATGGGGGAATGCTCGTCATATAATGCCGAGTGGAAAGTGCCAGAATATAGAACTAATAACATACAACGCAACCTCAACTTGTTGGTTTGTATTTAAAAATTGAAGATATGAAGAAAAGTCAATGTATAGCTCTGGCTTTCTGCAAGTCACTTAGCCCCTCAGGCCTCTGGGTCTTCGTATGTAATGTGGGAGTAATGAAGCTTGCTTGCTAGGATTGCTGAGGACTGCATGAGTGAAAGCACACCAAGCCCTTTGTATGGGGCCATGGTGATTGCTGTGATGGAACTGTTGGGTGACTGCACCTTTGTGTGTTTTTTGTGGTGGGCATGTACAGATTTATGATCATGAAAGACAGTTGTAGCTCTGTATTTGATTTTCTTGTTCCCCTCCCTTCCTCCTCAAAAGAAGGAACATCAGTTGAGCTAGGAATTGAAGGTGGCAAGTTAATCCAGGCGCTGCCGCCAGCCCAGTTATCCCTCAGGGTGATGTTGCTCCATGTCTTTCCAGGTGGCCCCAGCAGATGGCTTCTCTGATCTTGCCATGCAAGTGATGACATCTCCATCAAAGAACTACATTCTCTCTGTGATCAGTGGAAGCATCTGCATATTGTTCCTGATCGGCCTGATGTGCGGACGTATCACCAAGCGAGTGACACGGGAACTCAAGGACAGGTAGAGCCACCTTGACCACCAAAGGACCTACCTGTCCAGTGTCGTTTGTACAGCCCTCCTGTATAGAGTACCTATTCACCTCACTCTTCTAAGAGGTGACAACACCACCCATGTTAGAACAGCAGCAGGTATCCACTACATTGTCCCAACTCAGACGTCACCCATGTCCATGATGTCCTCCTTGTTCTCAGCCATTTGTGCATCAGCAGCTGGCCACTTTGGTTATTGCCTTTGCTGGCAAACTTTGGTTTACCTGCCTGTAGACAAGTCTCTCTCATACCAACGGAACTACCAGTACTTCCAGAACCAACTCACCTGACCTGCAACTCAAATGATTTAAAAAAAAAAAAAAAAAAACACCCAAAAAGGGAAAGCAATTTTTAAAGAAAGAAAAAAATGTATATAGGAACACATCTCCTCCAGGCTTGATTTGGGTGATGGGGTTATTTCTTCTGTGCAGCTGTGTCAAGTGAAGGCAGGACTTTAGAGGGAAAGCACACTACCCAGTATGCTCTAAGTATGTCTTGTTCATTTCTCTAAAGCACCTTTGGGCTGTGTCAGGTCATGGACATCACCCAGGAGTGGGAAAACCAGCCTGCTCTTGGTCCTGTTTTCTTCTGCTAAAACAGTAACGCCTTCAGTTCCCACCCTAGGAGAGCCACTTCCGGTCAAGACCTCAAGGCCATGGTCTTTCTATGTATTCCTCACCACATTGAAGCACAGCATGAACCTCCCCAGGCCAGGGGCAAATGGACTGGGGAGAGGATCAAAAGTTATGAAACTAATCAGTCCATGTATCTACACTAACAGGCTGTATTCTGATTCTCCAGGTAGCAGGATCCCAGTAATCTCCTCCAGGAGAGTGGAGGAGGGGTTGACCCTGCTGAGACAGCTGTTCTTCCAGAAGTCCTCCACTTCACTATGAGGCATTGACTGGGAGAAAGGGTTCCTTTGACACGGGGGTGGAGGGAAAGGCAGGGCAGGGAGTAGGAGCCAAGGGTTCCATTTGCTCTCTTTTATTTTTCAGACTGAAGTGCAGGTCAGAGACAATGGCATAGTCTCAGGGTGTGGCTGGCAGTACCACATGACCTTTCTGCAGGCTCAAGGCAAGCTTCCAAGACCAGCTCCTTTATGCCTTTAAGTGGAGAGGGTGTGGAAAGTGATTACATTTAACGATGGAGGGTTTTCTCCATTTTTTTTCTTTCTATCTGTTTGGTGTGTACACCCACTCCTTTAGGCATTGGTTAAATGCCTTTCCAGAACCTGAGCTTTGTAGAAGCCATATTCCTGGCCTTCTTCCTCTGTCCCCCAGTATGGAGATGACAGATTCGGGGTATGAAGAGCAAGCAGTCCAGGAGTTACGGTTTGATCCTGGCACACCTTTGGTTGAATTTGTGGCGTGAAGTCACAGTGACTGCATACGAGGGCAGCATGTACAGTAGGAGATATATTTATATAATATATTTTATTAACCTGTTAGATGTCCACAAAGTATTATAAATCACGTGCCTAGAGCTGTCCACATAGACCATTCATGGTGCCCTTCCTTCCCCTGCCTCACCTTCGCCATTGGCCACCTTTGCTGTGATATCTAAAGCAACATTTGTCTTCCCTGAAATGTGTTCAAATTCAAGGTGGAAGTGTGTCAGTTTGTGGATCAGATGATCCAGATTACTCCATGTCTCACCTGACTGACATACAGTTGAATACTGTGGTTTTCTTTTTCCTTCTACCTTTCCTGGAGGCAGTGTGTTCCAGAAGCCAGCTGTATATCCCCCATGCTTAGAGTAATACAAGTCACCAAGGGGAGCTGCTAAGCTGCTTGGTCCCTCAGCACTACTCTCAGGGCCCTCCTAATTCTCAGCAACTGTTTCGGGATTCTTCAATCTCATAAAACTTGAAACTCTTGGAGTATGTGCTGTATACCCTCCCACCACCACTGCTGGACTGAACTGAGCTGGTCCAGATCTTCCCTCTCCAGGGGCTCCCATGTGGGTGGTCTTGAGACTTTGGATCAAGAACTGGGAATGTTATCTAAACACAGGCCCTCTGACATGGTTTACAGGACAGGATTAGTGTTCGCCACTTGACACGGGTGGAGGGTGCCATCCTCCATCTCTGCTGTCTCCCAGTGGATGTGTGAAACATTCCTGTAGTTCTAACATGTCTCAATAGTTCTGTCCTTTTTTAAGTGAGAGATTACGTGAGTTGTCTGCAGCTGATTTGGAAGTTTGAAAAGGAGTTAAGTTTGTGAAATATTTGTCACCTGTAGGAATGGTCAGAATAGAAGGGATAATTCTGCCATTATCTTAACTGCTTGTGGCAAGAGAGAATTTCACCAGCCTACGGGAATAGTTCATGTAAAAGTCCCCAAGCAGCACCTGAGCAGGTGTTCTAAATGCAAGGGACGCAGCACCATCTGAACTGGTAGGCCAACAACATCCATTCTGTACTTCACTTGGCACAACAAAGTGGGTTTGGCGCCACCTCTGGTTACTGGCCTCATAGGTCAGTCTAGGGAATCAACTAGTTGAGAACTAGTCAAGAAGAAAGCAAGACCTGAGTGTAGGAGCCGGTGATGGACTTCAGCCTTTAACTCTTCTCCTGAGGTCTAGCCCATGAACAGTAATTTAAGTAGCAAGTAGGATATTTTTGCCAAGGCCAAGTGATTCCTCAAAGCTTCAGGCACTTGCTGATAATGACCGTTTGCCCCATCAGTAACTGTTGTCTGGACTCCAGACACTATGGTATGGGAAATCCAAAATCTGGGCAAAATGTCAAGAATAAGACTAGCAGCTTTTCCGCAAACAGAGCTGCTCACACACAACGGTGGCTCTGGGAGTGAGACCTTTACCTTGGTGTACTGCAGCCTTGCTACTGCTGCTGTCCCAAGAGAACTCTGCCCACAAGAGGCACCAAAATGGGAGCCACCCCAAAGGCTTGGGTTTGCTAGGGTGGGAAAGTCCCTTCTCCGTTCCCTGGAGACCCTCTGGCTATCACTCTCAGTCATAGCCCCATTTCTGTGGATCCAGTCAACTTGTTCCAAGCTAGTGCAGCCGTAGAAACTAGGAGGTTTTGGGGTGACCGATGAAGTAGAGTTCAGTGAGCAGGTTGTGACTAGAATCCCTTGCAGGCCTTTGACTGCCTCATGAACTTAGTCTTCTGGGGAACTCACTAGTAGTAGCTCAAAGGGACAGGAGTGGGGGAACACTGTTGTTTCCTGGAGATGCAGCAGAAAATTACTGTCACGTCATTTCTTCCTGTCTCCTGCAGTCACCTAATAGAAGAATTCAATGGCAAAGTGGCCTATTATAGCATCCATAATAGACACATTGGAAAGGGAGTTCATGTGGCTGACTTCCCACCACCTTCCAAGAGAAATTGTTGTTACATGCCATCGAGTCAGTTCCAATTTGTAGCAACCCTCTGTACAACACAATCAAACGCCACCTGGCCCTGTGCTAGCCTCACAATCATTGCCGCGTTCGAGCCCATTTTTCCAGCCAGTGTATCAATCTGTCTTGTTGAGGGTTTTCCTCTTTTTGAGAAGTACCCTATTCTTACATATCCAGACTTCTGGAAATGTCTCCCATCCTCCTTAGTCCAGGTTTCTGGTCCTACCTTTATCGCAAGGATCCCCACCATGGGAGTCATCCAGGGAAGAGTAAATTGCTTCTTGGGGCCTCATTTCTTAGCTAGTTTCAAACTCTCTGACAAAAGGCCTCCCCTTCTCATTCCCTCTCCACCAAGAAAAATAAACATTTGCTACGTGTAACTTATTCTAAGTGAGCAGATTTGGACAAGGAAACTGGAATAGGACTCTGGGAAGTCAGCCAACCCAGCCACACAAGCTTGGCACAGTCAGCCTAAATTTGGCCCATGGCATCAGACTATGGCTGTTTGGTTTGTTTGTTAAATAGGGTTCTGAAACATGTAGAGAAGGTTTTTTTGTTTATTTTTTATCATGGATGTTGTTAATATTTAACTGTAGAACAGAATCACAGAGCTGCAGTCAGGGTATTAGAGTTCAAGGGTCGGACACAGTGACACAGTAGTAGTCTGCTTAGTAAGGAAATTCTCTATTTCTCAAATGCCAACTTCTGAAACACTAGTTTCAATTACTCAGTTTTTATGCAGATGCCTATATTTGGGATCACTGCAGATTTTTGACAGTAGGGATCTCATTTCATTTTTTTGTTGTTGGCTGATTCAGTTATAATTAAAGGTAACATAGCAGGGCCTCATCCTCCCTGCCCCCCAGCAGAAGTTGCTAAGGATGGAGCAGTTCTACGTACTCACTGCAAACTGCAATGGGATGGAGCCGGAGAATGGGAAACGCAGCCATCTGGTAGACACTAGTTACTGCAGTAAACCTGGGAGACATGTGCACAGGCCTCCTGGGTTTCACAGTAGCACTTTGACCAGATTTTCCAGCACAAGGAGAATCTGGGCACGTCCTCCATTAGTGACGCCAGATGGGGATGGGGTCTGTCTTGCAAGGGGCCTGCAGAGATGGGTCCTGGCCAGTGGACTCTCGGGCTTGCAGCAGTGCTTCTCAAGCCTCTGGCTCTTTGATGTGTGTGCATTTTGCCCATATTTCAGATTCCTATGAATTTGAAAGAGTTCAAAATGCTCCATTTTCTCTCTCGCCATTTGGACGGCACCTAGGGACTTTTATGAAATACAGCATTCTAATGCTGAGTTTCTCCTGGGTTTTGTGAAGGGACACATCTCTCCTGCCTCTTGCCCTCTTCACCATTAGTCTCTGATTTCCAGAGGACCTGGACCAGAGGATCTGATGTTCTGGCATCTGTCTCATCTGCCTTTAGCTGACTGTCCCTGTAACTACACTCCCTCCTCTTTCTTGGACCTCCTGGGACCAGAGTCACATTAGGGCAAATCCCCCTTCCTACCCACACCTCAGACAACAAATAAGTCATTAGCAGACTCTCCCAAGCCATCTGGTGAGATCAAGGACTGTTTCTTACTGGACTACAAAGGTGGGACTGGCTACTCAAGAGCTGGTGGTGAAAGGATCCTGAAAGGTTGTGTCTTCGCCCTCCTTCCCCATCCCCATCACCCACCATGATGCACAGTAGGTGTTGGGAGGTGCGCAGTGAGGAAATCTTCCTGGGCAAGGAAAAGTTGAGACAGTGCCTCTATATTCTGCTCTTTGGCCTGCCTCCCCACCCACCCCCCATCAAGAAGATTGCTGTCTGGGCCCCAGGGCCCAGCAGGGTGCTAGGCCAGACAGGCCAGGTGGTTTAAGCAGGTCACAGGCCAGACCGCAGTAGCTGGATGCAGTGCCAACGGGCTTCCTGAGTGGCTTCTCCCAGCACAGTGTCCCG